ATGAACCTTAAGCAGTTGGTTTTAAAGAGGACATGAAACACTGGTCAATATGAGTGTGGTTCATTTGCATTTCACCTTGGGTAAGATATGGCTCTGAAATATAACATGAATTTCACCTAAGTTTGCTGGAAAACTAAAAAGTATTTCCCCCTTTCGCCACTAGGAGGCTGCCATCTTTTATCCAAGCAGCGGGTGACGTCAGCGGGTGTGTTGGGGTCTCCCGTCTGCTTGAGCTATCATTGGAAATGGTCAGTGGTGAGTGCAAAGAACAAGGAAAATAGGGCCATAAACCAGTTTGATCTTTAGTCTATTCAGTGTACTGAGAGTTTCAGCAGTTCTGAGATTCAGTAAAATAGCTTAATTTAACTTTTACGAGTTTCACCCGCGGCTCATCTGCACTAGAGTAAAGGAACTCAGACAGCTGAAACTATATTAAATTGATTGAAAACTTCCTGATTAATTACATAGGCCTATCTTAAACTTTAACAAAGACAGTGCGGAAGCATCGATAACCGTGAAAAACATGTAAACTCTTATGATTTTTAAACCGAGTCTGGCTGGACCATGCTCAGCACTGCATCCAATGCCGAGAACAGATCCACTGCTTTCCTGACGCAAATTTAGCCAGAAAAAAACGTTCTCTCGCTCTCTGTTGTTGTTGGCGTTAGATGTTGCTGAGCGTCGTCCGGTCAGACTCGGTTTAAAAATCATAAGAGTTCACATGTTTTTCATGGTTATCAATGCTTCCACACTTTCTTAGTTCAAGTTTAAGATATGTTATTAATCAGGAAGGGCTTCCGCTCAATTAGGCGTACTAATTATATAAGTTTTCAATCAATCTAATATAGTTTCAAAGGTCTGAGTTCTTTCACTCTAGTGCAGATGAGCCATGGGTGAAACTTGTTGTAAAAGTTAAATTAAGCTATTTTACTGAATCTCAGAACAGCTGAAACTCTAGGCCTGTTTCCACCGCAGGAACTTCAGGGTCATTTTACGGGGCCAGGGCCGTTGGTGCGGGTCTCCACCACAGGAACCACCCCCGAAGGACAGAGTTCCGGAACTTTTACGGGGGCTAAACAAGTCCCTGACTCGGAGTAGGTACTCAGAAAGGCCCAGAAAGACTAAAAGCTGGGGCTTGGGAATTACTTGGTGCTGAATAGATATACTCAAGGAGGGATGTGATGTCAACAGAAAGCAACAAAATAGCCGGCATTTTTAAAACTCAGCAGATGAGGATTAGCTCGTTCATATAGCTTCCTCCGCCATGTAAAAAAAACTCACTAAATGGCCCGTGAAAAAAATATTCTTTCCAGCGGATATCTTAGTTACAACATGATTGAGCTAGCAAAGCAGTTTTGTTTTGCTATGTGTGGTATTTATTCAGTTTTGGGAAATCACAATGTCTAGAAAGCATCAGCTGACGGGGATAGCTAAAAGCAGCAGCAAGCTAACATCAGGATGTCATCTGTTAAAACCCTCCCGTTGTCAGATACGACATGAAACTACTCCAGTTAGCTCAATCATGTTGTAACTAATCCGCTGGAAAAAATATTTCTTTCACGGGCCATTTAGTGAGTTATTACAGACACCGCTATCGGCTAACAGCTAACAGCGTCCCTACGTCGCCCCGGACAAAATGGTTGCGCAACGATTACGTCACGTCCAGAGCCCGTAACTTTACAGGAACCTTCCTCGTACTCCGCTCTCTCAGTGGAGACACAGCGGTTGAGAGGGCCGAACAAGAGGACGTTCCTGTAGTAGTTCCTGCCCCCCAAATAGTACCAGGAACTTCTTCAGTGGAAACGGACCTTCTCAGTACACTGAAAAGACTAATGATCAAACTAGTGTATGGTTTTACTTTAGTTGTTTTTGGCCTTTTTTCCTTGTTCTTTGCACTCATCGCAAACCGCTGATTTATCATTTCCAATGATAAATCATGCAGACGGAGACTCCAACAAATCCGCTGATGTCACCAGTTGCTTGGATAAAAGATGGCAGCGCCCTGGCGAAGGGCAAAATACTTTTTAGTTTTCCAGCAAACCTAGGTGAAATTCATGTTATATTTCAGAGCCATATCTTACCCAAGGTGAAATGCAAACGAACCACACTCATATTGACCAGTGTTTCATGTCCTCTTTAATGTTGGGACTGATAAGTCTATATGCTGGTGCAAGACCATGAATAGTGAATAAGGACTCTAAATAAACTTAATATTGAAATATTGTTTTAATTTGTCATCCATCCGGACATCGACATGGCTGACACAGAGGCCCTTTATTAAAAATGTATTGTCCAGTGATGTGATATGCTTGTAACGTATTTTTGACAGTTTTATACTAAGACACTTACAATTTCATGTTGCAGGACACAGAGAACTTGGAACTTGAACAACTCATCATGGCAATTACTGTGACCAGAGCTTCTACAAGCAACAAGGACATTGGAATTGTCATAGAGGGCGTGGAAGTCATCACAGGACTTGGAGATATTGCCAGAGCTTGTTCTGTCCTCCTTGGCTTGAACTACGCGCTGAATCTGGATTACCCCAGTCAGCTGAAGTATACCTTTGAGGTTTTCCAAAAACTTTTCATGGAACTGGATGACTCAAAGCTGTCAAACAAAGTCCAGTCCCTCAAGAGCAAACTTCTGGCTTGAACTGGTTGCAGTGTACACTTTTGTGCTACACAATGCTTCTGCAGAGTTTGAAAATTGCACTTTTCAAAGTGCTATGTTTGCATGTTAGCACTGATTTGGATTTTATCCCAAGAATTTTATTTATGATATTTTATGTTCATGGACATATCACCATTGTGCAATATGAACTTTATTTTTGTTTTTATAAAATAGTTTAAAGTCAGCACTGTCATTTTCAAAGTTATGGTTTGAAATGAGACTAGTTGCAATGCACACTGTTTTGCTACACAATGTGTAGAAAGCCTAAGAGTGAATGGTTAATAAAAGTTATTTGGTAACATTCAATATAACAGTATTTTGTATTCTGTACTTTCTGGAACATAAACTAGTTACTGTATTACTAAGAAAAAAAGAATATTTAGATTTAATTCATTGTATAGATTAAATTTAAATCAATTCATGTAAATGATTATTACTCAATTATTTATCATTGATATGTAAAATTAAATTAATTTTTATTAGTACTATTTACACATTTAGAATTTTTATCTTTATCATATCAACTCAATATTTTTGTTTAGGTTTTAATTAATTCCTTTTTGTTTTCTATTCAAATCTACTCATATTAAATGGATAAGTATTAAGGGTCTCATTTAATTAATATTTACTCAATACCAAGCATAGTGAAATTTAATTAATAATATTGCTTGTAATCTGTTGCCTCATTGTAATTGAGTAGATTTGGTGTATTTTTTCTTACAGTGTATAGTGAGTCAATTCCATTGGTCCTATCAGGGTTAAAAGAAAAATATAACTGGAGGTCATCAGCATACATATGGTATGAGATACCTTCAAAATTGCTGATGATATCTCTGAGAGGGAGCATGTATAGTGTAAAGAGGATAGGCCCAAGCACTGAACCTTGGGGCACCCCGCAAGAAAGGGGGGCAAACTCTGATTTATGAGGGCCAACAGCCACAGAAAAGGATCGATCAGACAGATAGGATTTAAACCAATGAAGAGCAGTCCCTGAGATACCTAACCTGTCCCTCAGCCTGTCTAAAAGGAAGTGGTGATCAACAGTGTCAAAGGCTGCACTGAGATCAAGCAGAACCAGGATAGTGGATTTACCGGCATTGGAGGCCATCATGATGTCATTGGAGACCCTGAGAAGTGCATTTTCTGTGGAATGTAACTGACGATAACCGGACTGAAATTTATCCTGTTTATCCTGTTTATCCTGTTATCTATAATGCACATTCTACATCTCAGAGGCGCCGTCTTTCCACATATGGGGTTCCTTCGCCTTTCAAACGGGGCAGAGCTCCGTGGGTAACAGTAGGAGAGACACAGCCCGAGGGGAACCGAGATCTGACACAACACCGGAGGGAGAAGCAGGTCTGTGGAGCTGCGCGCCAGCCAAAAAAACAAGTGTCGCACCGAATGCGTGCCCCTACAGCATTGCTTTGGGTTGTTAGCGTGCATGACGTGCGTCTACATTGAAAGTAATGCGTTTGCGCGTGTGAAAGACGCTACATCTGAACGCCCCCCATCCACATTCACATCAGGGTGAGTCTGCAAAAAAAAAAAAAAAAGAGCTGCCAGTAGAAGCGGCCCAGGGACAGCGGTAGCAGCATACGTGATATCCAGTGTCATGACTGAACACCGGCCCAATAAAAACAACAAAAAAACTGAACACTGGCCCTCGTGGCCCAAATGTGCCGGTCCTCCCAATTAGCCACTCTGGGCCTGGCTGGTGGACAGAGCCAGATACTTTTCTTAGGAATTGTTGGAGACCAAACCAGAGCTAAAAGGACAGGTAATGGTTTTATGCTGGACAGCATTTAATGTTTGTATATCGGGAGAATAAAAAAATCTATATTATGCAACACCACCTATGACCTCAATAATAAACATTTAACTGAGAGTATAAGGTTGAAAAACTGTATAGCAGAGCTTTTAAATTAATTTTAACAGATTATGCAGGTGTTAATAAGAAATAGTGCATTGAAAATCATTAAGTACCAAAACGTCCCTAGAAGCTTCAGCGATTACAGTAATTAGAAAAAGACAAAGGGATTAATTAAAAAGACAATTATACACTGTGACTCACCTGAGGTTGTAACATCACAGCAAATAATTCAACTCTAATTCACAGCAATCTATAAAAAGAATGCTCTACAGAATATAGTGCTTTTCTCTCTTGACATCATGTGACTGATCAGCATCTTTTGTCAATCTATAATTACTTTGATTATGAACATTGGTTTTGTCTTTGTTTCAGAAAACCAAAGTTAAATTTTCAATCACAAATTGCCAGAGGTAAGAGTGATTTACTTTTCAAAAACAATATTTTGTGAGCTCACCGAAATCCTAGACTGTTGATGTGTTGGCTGCCCAGCCTGGAGAGGCTCTTCTTGGCCGAGTCCTCCAAGTTGTTGGAGCCCTCGTCATTGACCACCATGGCCAGTATGACTCCCATCTCCACACCATCCACATACTTTGCAAGGCGGCGACTCTCATCCTTACTACGATATGTGTCAAACCTGTCGGAGTGAAGGAAGGGGTGTTTACATGTCATGTTCAGTAGACAGCAACAACTAATGTATTTCTGTGAGTTTGTATTGTCTTCTATTTTTCCCACTCCTTTGCCCAACTACAAATTTCTCAACTTAAATGTGATTTTTCCTGGAGTGAAAATTCCATTACAAAAAGTGAATACTGCCTGTGTTCACATTTCTATGAAAGATGTACACCACCAGACCCAGTGTAATGTAACTGAGTTCCTCATTGTACAGTATATCATTAGATAACAATTATAAACACAGTTAACAAAGCCGGTTTGGGGTATCATGATTACTTCATTTCAAACATACTATGGCATAGAAACACAAGGAAGATTATAGGGCAAAAAAATTAAAATGCCATGGAATGATGCATGTTTTGGGGATGACATGACGTAAATATAGGACATGAAGCGTTTATATCTGCATGTACACTAGTTCAACCCTGGTGTGACAGGTGTAAAAGAGGTGCATCACACTTCGGGATGAAATTAGAAAACCCTCTGAAATCAAAACGAATACTTAATTGATTTCATTAATTTCTCACTATGTTAAATACATAATTGTTGGCAGACCACTTTATATCACTTTTAATGCACAATTTATGCTACCATTAAAGCCAAGAAATGTGCATAGGTGTCAAAAAAAATATACTGCAGGTATGGTAACAATGTGTGTATGTTTTTTTTGTGCAAATTAATAATGTCATTATCAGGTTTAAAAATCAAGGTACCAGATTCATAAAAAGGACATCTACACAAACTTATTTATTTACTGCACTGACATGTACATCAAATGTGTAAATGACTCAAAATAGGAATGTGAAAGACCACACAAAACACTAATTATTTATCATGGCCCATGTGCGCTCTTCCTGCCTGTATCTTACACAATGCTGTTATGTGCTGAATTGTCTCACGAGCATCTTTGCACAGCCTGCACCTGGCGTCCTGTCTGCTGAGATAGACCCCTGCTTCTATTGATCTTGTTCTAAGTGCTTGTTCTTGTGCTGTCATAATTGGTGCTTCTGTACTGTCTTTGAGTCCAGGCATTTCCAGCCACATTCTTTCGGTGGTACATGCCGCCTAGGGACTTGTCCTTCCATGATGATTCATCTTCCTCTTCTGTATTCTTGGGTTTCTGCTGCCTGAGGTATTCACTTTGCAGCTCATCTTTGGGGGCCATCTTCCTGATGTATTCCTGGATCTTGGTTGTTTCGTCCTAGACAGTGGCTCTGATGCTCACCAGTCCTCGGTCCCCCTCACTACACTTATACCCCTTTTCCACCAAAGCAGTTCCAGTGCTGGTTCGGGGCCAGTGCTTAATTTAGAACCAGTTTTCCTGTTTCGACAGACAAAAGAACTGGCTCTGGGCCAGAAAAACCGGTTCCAGAGTGGTACCACTTCTTTGCTGGACTAGAAGAACGAACCACATACGGGGAAGGGGGCGGGGTTATTGAGACCAGCAACAAAGATAAGCAACAAGCTTATAAAGTTAAAAAAAGATTACCGGGACCAAAAGAAGAACCTCGGCCAAAGTGGCAATGGGCGGTCAAGGAGAAATCCGCATTTCGATGTCCTGGACTCGGTCCTAGGTGACAGACCGGCGTGCCAAGTGACCGGAGCTCTACACTCAGCCATGGCAATGCTGGAGGCGAGGGTGGACCAAAGCGAAACGCTGCCACAAACGGAACCTGGTAAGTTTCTTTTCTAACATTTTCGCCTTGCATACAGTTGTTTAGTTTTACCAGTTTCTTCAGATAACAGCTGTGTCCCAATTTAGGGCCCGCGTCCCTCAGAGGATGCTGGCCCTAAATTGGGACACAGTTATTGTTTGCGATGTCTGCTTGGGTTAATGTTAACTGATCAACAGGTTAGCCTTGGTAACATTAGCTAACGTTGGCAAGTTACTTAGCCATGGGCTCAACTACCAGCCCCACTTTCAGTTGGCTAAACATTGTATAATGTGTAGTGGACAAGTCACTGTTTAAAGCGCTGTTTTTCATGTAGCCTATAGAGTTATCTGCCATCGAACAAGACGATGCTAACTTGGAGCTAACGTCGCCACTCCACTGCAGCTTGCCAACACCATCCAGCAGCTCAGGTCAAAGCCACCAAACCAGACCAGGTAAGAGTGTACAGTATCAGGGTACTGGACTTGGGATGAAACCCTCCATGCATGGTGAGAACCTTCCTTGTCTTGATATCAGTGGCCTCTATCTCCTCCTTTGGCCAGCTTATTATAGTAGCGGGGTAGCTGATGACTACAGGGTGTATGTGCTGATGCCTCAGACCATGTTCTTTCTGTTCAGGACCTGCCTTACTCTTTGTAGGTATTTGACTGTTGCTGACTTCCTTTCGGCCTCCTCATGGTTCCCATTTGCCGGGCAACGTCTGAGATGGTATGACTCTTGTTTTTGCGGTTTTACTAATCTTGAGGTAGGCTAGCAGCATTATGTTAAACTTTTGGAAAATACCTGTATCCCTTTGACCAGAGCATTCCTCCCCTGGTCTGACTCCTGCCACTAAACCTCACTACTGCTCTATGAGAAAAACCACCTGGGATCACTTCAGCTCTCCCTTGCACTGGAACTCCTGCTTCACTTGGAAACCACTTTCGATCACATCAGCTCCATTCACCACTACTCTCTGGAACCCCTCTCCCAGCCCATTCCAGCTCAGCTTCCCTGCACTTTCCTGCCTCAAACTCTAGTCACCCTTACTCCTCTTTGTTCCAGTTTAAAGTATCTGTCTTTGTCTGCATGTGGGTTCACAAACCTAGCTCCCTAACACCCACTCTGAAAATGACCATCATCTTTTACCACAATAAAAGCTGCATATCAATTTATCTGACCTCTATTTGGAACAAAAAAATGTGATGAATTGTAAATCATGCAAGGTTATTAAGGATGACATCAATTGCTAAATTTAATATCCCTGCACTGATTCGAATGATGCGCCGGTTAGAGTGGCAACAAGTCTAAGTAGCTCCTGTTTTTTGAGTCATTTTTGAGTGTGTTTTTTCTTTTTTTAATGATTGTAAATTTTTCAAATGTGATGAGTAAAGTTGTGTACATGAGGGATGATCTTACGGAGTTAAACTCCCGATACCGGCCGAGCTGAGGAAGCCATTTCAAGATACAAGCCTTTCCTGCCGTCAGTAATAATGGAGAATGTAAATTCATTATCCAAAAAGTGTGATGAACTGCTGGCATTGGTGAGGAGCCAACGACTCTACAGGGAGTGTAGTCTGATGTGCTTCACGGAGACGTGGCTGAATGACAACGTGCCATACAGCTGTGTGAACCTAATGGGCTTCTCTACTGTGCGAGCAGACATGGACGCAAATGCGAGCAGCAAAAACACAGGTGGGGGACTGATCCTACATGTGAACAATAAATGGTGTCATCCTGGACATATCACGGTGAAGGACAAGATCTGCTGTCAGGATATTGAACTGTTGGCAGTCGTATTATGTGCCTCAGGAGTTTTCGCACATTGTCGCCATTATTTTTTACATTCCACCGCGGGCAGCAATGACAGTGGCGTGTAACATCATCCATGAAACTGTTGCTAGGATTCAGACCCAGCATCCTAGTGCATTCATTGCAATAATGGGGGATTTTAACAACACTACTCTCTCCTCCCATCTCTCTGGGTTTGTTCAGTATGTGGACTGTCCCACCAGGGAGAATAAGACACTGCCAACAACTTCAACCTGTTCTTTAACAGGTTTGATGGAGGGGGCAGTGTACACCCAACCCCTGCATCCATCCCCCCTTCCACAGTGTCACCTGCTGCTGCTGCTCCTGCTCCACTGTCACCTGGAAGTAGCCCCTTCCCCACTACTGCAGCTACAGCTATAGCTACAACATCCACTACCCACGGCCAACAACCACTGTCCTTTACAGCAGACGAGGTGAAGGCGGAGCTCAGGTGACTGCATACAGGGAAAGCTGCGGGCCCGGATGGAGTGTGTCCAAAGCTCCTGAAAGACAGCTAGCAGAGCCCCTTTCATGGGTCTTTAACAGGAGTCTTCAAACAAGCAAAGTCCCGGTGCAGTAAAAAACATCTTGTCTTGTACTGGTGCCCAAAGTGGGGCGCCCGGCTGAGTTAAATTACTACTGACCGGTGGCCTTAACATCACACATTATGAAGACCCTGGAGCGCCTGGTCCTCTGTTACCTGAAGTCAGAGGTCATTGATGCTGTGGACCTGTCCAGTTTGGCTATCAGGAGCACATAGGAGTGGAAGATGCGGTTCTTTACATGCTTCACCGGGCCTACACCTACTTGGAGGAGCCAGGGTGTTGTGTGAGGGTCCTTTTCCTTGACTTTTCAAGTGCTTTTAATAATATCCAGTCCTCCATACTGAGAGACTGGTAGGAGGGGATGGGAGTAGATCGCTTCCTGACCTCCTGGATAACAGACTACCTGACAGAGCGGCCTCAGTATGTCAGGCTTGGGAGCTGTGTCTCTGGGATGGTCAGGAGCAGCACTGGTGCTCCACAGGGAACTGTTTTAGCACTGTTTCTGTTCACACTCTAGTCCGAGTCCTGGCACATAGAAAAATACTCTGATGATTCAGCTATTGTGGCTTGTATCAGGAGCGATCAGGAACAGGAGTACAGGGACCTCGTGGATGCCTTCAGGGACTGGTGCAGTAAGTGCTGTTTCCACCTGAACACAGCCAAAACCAAGGAGATGGTGGTGGATTTCAGAACAAAGAGGTCACTCCATCAGCCAGTGCACTTCTCTATGCTGCAGTGTGTTGGGGGAGCAGCTTGACAGACAAAAACACCAAGCGTTTGGACAGGCTGGTTAAAAAAGCTGGCTCAGTGCTCGGGAGGAGATTGGATCCACTAAGAACTGTGGTGGAGAGGGCCACATTGAACAAACTGAAAGCTATAATGTACAATAGGAGACACCCTCTCCACAGCCTCCTGGAGCGACAGAGGAGCAGCAGCAGCAGTCGGCTCATCTCACTACATTGCAGAACAGAGCATTTCAGAAGATCTTTCATCCCCACAGCAATAAGACTGTTTAATACCTCCTGAATCTGGTCACACACACTAACAAATTTTCACAACTGGACTGGACTGTGTAATGGACAATTTTATTTTAATGTAACCTCTATTTATGCACTTATTTTAATGTTGTTTTTTTGGTCTTCTATGAGCTGTTGGACAGCTGAATTTTGGGATAAATAAAGTTCTTTCCGTTCTATTCCATTCTATTCTATTATATTGTATTCTATTAAACAATGCCAGAGCCTTTAGAGGCATATTTTTTACCCTCATTACAACCCTGTGGTTAAACAGCTTATGAGATGTCAGCCACCAAGTCAATTCTGTTTAATATAAATGTCTCAGGATTGGTCAGCAGCTGGGACGCAGCATCTGCTTTGAAGCCTTACCTGTCATTATGCAGCACCTCTCCGGTCTTGGGGTCCATAATGTGGACGATGATGCCTCGGTTCCCCCAACTTCTCTGGAACAGGTAGTTGTTTTGGTTGCTCTCTCCAGGATGGAGGGTCTTGTTGAGAAATGTCCATGACAGCTTCTTTTGTCCATGGATCTCTAGTGTCCCTCCTGTCCCCACACCAATGTACTTCCTCCCAAAATAGCTGTGTTCTGTATCACTGTCATCCAATCTAAGAACAGTGTGGGAAGATTAAAAACATTTTAATGTCTCTCCGCAAGTGACATTAGAGGCAAAGAAGTAAGCTTCAGTGTCTGCATTAGTGACCCTAATGTAGACATCACATGTCAACCATATTTCAGAGGATTTTCAAAAAAATGGCAAAAAGGCATTAAGTCCACTAGTTTTTACTGAAGACTCAAAACCTGAGTTTTGTCTTAAAATCGGCTATAAAGTGTCTTTCAAAGCTCCTTTGGGTAGCATCACTCCATAGTCAATGTCAGCATATGAGTGACAGGGATTGTCAGCTGAGGGAATACATTATAAAGCCAATTTGGCCGACTTGTTGAGCCGTGATAATACAAACAGAATGACAGTCATTCTTTTTCTATTGCCTTAACGTTTCAAACACACACCCCAACAAAGCCGTGCATCTACAATAGTGCTTGCTGTATTTATCAATTCACATTCTTTTTACACAGGAACCTACAGTACATCACTGAGTAAGAACATTATTTTATTTTAACTGCAAGGTTGTTGTTGCTCCGAATATGTTTGTGATCTATGGTCCATTTGCCTAACTGTACTTTCAAACCAGAAGCTTCCAAAGAGGCAAAGTCTTTTGCGGACACCCAAGAAGCATGACTGTCAGAAATATTTGTGGCAGCTTTGGTCTCTAGTCGCTCATCAGTTAAATGGAAATTTCGGTTTATTTCAACCCGTCTCCTATCGTCCTAAATTTGTTTCAAGTGACTAGTGACATAGAAATAATAGTTAGCATGTTAGCCGTTAGCCTAGATACAACCGTAGCGTCAGACCTGTTAAAACGTAAGTGAACGGGCATACCTTCAAGTGCAAAGTTAGTCCACTAAACAAGCTTTTTTCCACAAAGACTGCCTCATATCATTAGGATAAATGTCAGAGAACATATAGAAAACATGTAAACGTGTTGTCTTACCTTACCGGTGTGCTGCCATGTTTGTTTACCATCTAGCTCTGCTTTCCAAAGCGCAGCCGAAATATATCTCACCAGCTCTAGATAAAGCCCAGCTGGATACTAACGTTACTCCAGGTGGAGGTGTCTCGTCCTCGGTCACATCCAGACCTTGAAAATAAGGCTGCAACCGGTCCCATTCCTTGCAACAGAGGCATTCCTCTTCTGTGGGTACTGGGGCACAGCATTCACAGGTACACCACCAATCTCCAGAGCTATGCAGCCTTGCAGCAGCCATTCCTCCCCTCTCGTCCTCTAACGTTACCTGTTGCGCCTCTCTCTCTCCTTCTCCTCCGTTCTTCAATTTCACGAAGCTCTTCGTCAGTGTATTCTGGCTCAAATAAATAAGGGCGGCCATCAAACTCTGCAAAATCAAATTCCTCCTCCACAAAGTAGAAGTCTGGCAAAAATGTCAGCCATTATTCTATAAATCTTTCATAAAATAAATGAATGAACTTTTCAGGCTACTGTCCGGTTCTGCCTTCCAGCTGTTGCTGCTTGTTCAGGCACGCTATGAGATACTGCTTGTTCTCGCGATATTTCGGCCGCGCTTTGGAAAGCAGAGCTAGAGGGATAAACAAACACGGCACCACACCGGTAAGGTAAGACAACACGTTTACATGTCGTTTTCTGTATGTTCTCTGACATTTATCCTAATGATATGAGGCCGTCTTTGTGGGAAAAAAGCTTGTTTAGTGGACTAACTTTGCACTTGAAAGGTATGCCCATTCACTTACGTTTTAACAGATCTGACGCTACAGCTGTATCTAGGCCAACATGCTAACTATTATTTCTATGTCACTAGTCACTTGAAACAAATTTAGGACGATAGGAGACGGGTTGAAATAACCTGAAATTTCCCTTTAAAGGGGAAGTTCCATTTTTTACAACCTGGACCTTATTTCTGGCATTAAATACAGTTGTTTACTCACCCAGATAAGTTTGGTGTCATTTGGAGTCCTTTGGAAGATATTTAGATCCGCGAGAGCCGCGTACATCCATATAGTGGGAATGATCGGGGCACTGAATCGGGGCTCTAAATAACACATTATCTGCCGCTTAACTCGTTCATTTCACCAATATGTTTTTATGAATCGCTAGAGTTGCTTGTCATCATCATCCGAGTCATTTATACTGACCTACTAACCTCTGACCTGGATGATGTCATCCAGGTGCGCCGCGCCCTGCCGCACACCCGCAGCACGGCTCTGTTTACAGCTGGAATTTGCTACTGTTAGTTTTTTGAAACATGGCTGAATATTTGTCAGATTTTGAGGTTGTGGACGAAGACTTTGAATATGATGGACGTCCTTACCGTTTTGAGCCAGAGTATACGGATGAGGAGCTCTTTGAAAGGAGGATGCGGAGGCAGAGAGAGGAACAGCTGGCCAGAGAACAACAAACTGCTGCACGTCCGAGAATAGATGCTAACTGGTGGTGTTCTTGTGGAAAATGTTCCACTATGCCAACAGAGGAGGAATGTTCTCCGAGTGTTGCTCCGAGTGGGATTTGAGGCCAGGAGATACACATCTGGATGTCTCCAGAAATGACTGTCTCACAACTACAGAGGATTTCACTTCTATGATCAACCGTGCTGTTGTAGAGACTTTTTTTCGTGTCCCGAAAGTAAATTGGAAGACCCAGCCAAAGCCTGCAGGACCGAACGGGCAACTTTTGATTGAGTAAGTAGCCTACACACATGCATAAATTGTTTATTTTCTTTGAATTTGTTTGCTTGATAAGTAAATAACTATGAGAATTTACATTTCTTTAGCTTCTTCTCATCGCTTCTGTAGAATGGCCCGCACACTGCACAAAAAGCAGAGGCACTTCTTATGCAAAATGTGAATGTATTATTACATAGTGCTCAGTGACAAAAAGTGAGAACAGAACAGAAAGGTGAACGTTTCGGTGGTAAAGAGGATTTTCTTGTTTTTGCAGTGTGTGGACCATTCTACACAAGCCATTTGACACTCATTCTTTGGCTTTATGCACCCGCTTTACGCATAGAAAGCCGGACTTCAAGAGAGCACAATTTTCTCCCTCCTCTGTATTTACTATCTTCTAATCAACTTGACCCTCTGTCCTATAGGCAGTGCAGACTCGTAGCCTGACATCATCCAGGTCAGAGGTTAGTAGGTCAGTATAAATGACCAGGATGATGATGACATAAAAACATATTAGTGAAATGAACGAGTTTCGCGGCAGATAATGTGTTATTTAGAGCCTCTCTGTCGGTGCCCTGATCATTCCCACTATATGGATGTACGGAGCTCTCGCGGATCTAAATATCTTCCGAAGGACTCCAAATGACACCAAACTTATCTGGGTGAGTAAACAATCATATTTAATGCCAGAAATAAGGTCCAGGTTGTAAAAAACGGAACTTCCCCTTTAAATGATTCAAACATTCGATCGTGCTTGTCAATTTAAAGGAGCCGCAAAGCGGACTACTGGCTTGAAAGCAGTGTAGTTGCTGCTTGCTGTTGTCCAGTCAAAAAGCTCATAGTTGGCCTACGCAAGTAATCAACTTCTCAATATGTGTGGTATAGGAACCAAAGTTATATGGCTTGTTCTCTGGGATCCGCTTCAGCGAAGCACGTCAGCATTCTGATTGCTGGTCGCTGAACCTTGTCGGAGCTCATTACCATAACGTTAAAATAGTTTTAACTCCCCTCCGGACCCCCTCCGGTTGCTTTGGTCGCCCAAGACGCGTGGCTGATGTCATTGAAAATTAATGACTTCCGCCATTTTGGAAGCTCTGGTTGCTGTTGGTTTGAACATACAGTAAGTTGCCTCTAAAAGATGCCTTCTATAAAATAACAGGTAGCATACACTCCACTATGTTATTATTCAGGATAAAGTTTATATGCTGCCCCACACATTTTCTTTTCTTCTGGTTCTTAAAGGGCCAGTGTGTAATAATTGGCATGGTTTATTGTCAAATCTGAATGTGAATCTGAATATTCTACCCATTAATATGTTTATATAAGTGTATAATCGCTATAAAATAAAATTCATTTGGTTTTCGTAGCCTTATAATTATGCTTTTATATATATATCTATATATATATAGCAAGGGCCTTGCTTTAGAGAGGTCGCCATCTTGCGCCGCCATGTATGTACGGCAGCCTGAGCGGACAATCCAGCCAGCCAGAGAACGCGTTTCGCGTGTATAAATAAACCAACGAAGACAGCGGAAGGAAGGAAGGAAGAAGGAGGAGGAAACAGCAGAGAGTGTTAGTTGTTCGTCGATAGAGAGTAGTGGAAGTTTTTTTTAGTTATAAAGTTTGCGAATGGACCACACTTACCACGCAACAGGAGAGAATGAACCCGAACGTCATCTGCGAGGAAAAGAAGACGCAACTTCACTCCTTGTGATGCACTCTCTGCGGCGCTTTTCCTCCTGATGATATATCTCCCCAACGATGGCAGCACTGAATCCCATTCTGTGCAGCAAAATGGGAGCGGAGGATTCAGCCTCTCTTCTCGCCCGCTCAGTATCCAAGTTCCTCATCTGTATGCTCCGGCTCAAACAGGTATGGCTCTGGGTCTGTGTCCGCTACAAGAAACTCTTCAAAATCGCGTTCAAAGTCGTCCATTGCAGCTGCTATAGTCCGGAGATATTGCTAGGCTAAATAAACAGCTGAGCTCTGTTTACAGGCTACGCTATCAGTCAGTGTGCGGGCTGGAGATTGGTGGAGCAGAGAGGGGAGGGGGTCCCCGCTAGGTACTGTAAACGAGTATGTGTGTATGAACTGTGTGTGTGTTACGCTAGAAGAGTCAGAGTTTGGGACAGAGTCTTTTACATGCTACCTCCTGGAGTGTTACCAGAGTTTTTGGAGTGCTCAAATAAACAGGCCTTTTTCCCGAACGCTACTCTGGTCTCCTGCTCGTGAGAGATTCATTACAATATAGTAACATGGATTAGATTTCTAAATAAACATTCACCTCATCGCTAGATAGACCTACTCCTGAAAAACTCATGTCTTCACAAGGCTTTTTGTCCCTACGAGGCCACCGTCATTTACCCGACGGGAGGGGTGAGCGAGTGAGCCCTGCAATCTAGAATTTGACCACTGATGTCACTGTTTTCAACGGTTTTCAACCCATTTTACACAATGGCCCTTTAAGCAATTGTATTTGATCTTCCGGTTTAGTGCTAGCAGTGCTAGTTGGTGTTGTAAAAAATTAATGAAATTTGTGAACATTTGGCAGCTATACTGCAGCAATCGGATGGTAACCCCACCACACCCATCAGGTACTAGGAGGATAACATAAAAAAAATGGCCTGAAATTACACATGGCCATTAGTAATTACTCTTGTTTTAGCTGGGAAATTTGTTTCAGCAGCAAGTTCACTACGTTCCACACATTATGTTAACTTTATACTATTGTATACTATACCATACTCACAATGTCAAGACAAGAATTACTCTTATACCTTAAGTCATGTCCTGGATGATGGAGAATCCTCACCGACAAGATACTCTTATACCTTTTTTCTTTATGAAACAAAAAAATGCAGCCGTACACCTTCTGAATCTAAGAAACATCATGGCCACCCCTGGTCACCCCCCAGGTAGCTCTGGTGGGTAAGTAGCTAATTTTGAGCCGCAAAACCTCTTTAGCATTTTTGTTAATGTTAGCACCACTAGCTGCTAACACACTGCTAACGGTGCTAACAGAGCTAACAGTAGTTTACTATTCTAAAGGGGGTTTGTTGCTCAAAATTAAGCCGCTTACTCACCAGGGTTACCTAGGGGGAACCCAGGAGTGGCCATGATGTTTCCACAGCAGCGCTGTTGGGTTGGGACACCATTACCTGCAGTAATTGCTGAATGAGCAGCTCTATTGGCTGCCTCCCACCAGACATGGCTGGTGCGCAGTACAGTGCACAAGGCAGCTAACCAGTGGAGACTGGAGGATAGGGCTTATTTATATCAGCACTGACACATAACAAAAGATGGAACCTGATTGGTTGTCTTGTGTGTTTTCTCAGTGCTGATAACTAACATTACGCATATCTTTAATAAGATGTCACAGAATAAGAGTATGTGAATAACAAATTCTGACAAAAATGTCAGATATATAATTCCAAGATGATGCTATGGTAATAATTTGAGTAACATCACCTCCTAAAAACACATTGCGGCCCTGCCCATCAGTATGTTTTCATGCTAAACGTCTTACAATTGTACCTTCCAAAGAGGGAGATGGTGAAGTTGCCTTTATAAGGACAGTCTGGGCTTCCAATGTGCAGCTCCCCTTTGTTACCAATCAGAATGCTTTTTGTCCGAAGCAGTATGGCCCGGTTGGTGTCAGCAATCACCAGCTTTCCTAAAGGGGAGACAGAGAGAGTGTGTGTGTTTGTGTTCTGGGGCAATAAATAATAATAATAAAAATGATGATAATAATAATATTATGATAATAATAATAATTCATAATGGCAATAAATCTGAATGAATAACAGCCTTCTCTGGTGCTCATGTTTTCTGTAAAATGAACAAAACACTTTAATTGTGGAATATCTAACCAAACTAACAATGTGTAGCATCTCCATATGGACCAAAGTTTAAACATATATATTTGTATGTGTGATTTAAACAACTAACTAATGTTAACTTAAGTGGGTAGCCAACAACCTGTTTTTTTTTTGTTGTTGTTTTTTTTTTACATCCAAAGAACTTCTAGAAAAATTAACTGCTTGTTGAATGAATGAATGCCCTTTATACTGAATGTTTAAAAATCTGTCAAATATTCCTATAAAATAGCAGAATGAAATAATTTCTGACTTGGGCACATCCCTAGTTTTAAGAAGAAATTTCTTCTTAAGGACAGTTGGTGAATGAGGCCCAATGGTAAGAGCTAAGTGACAGACAGACAAATAAAACAATAGGAAATAGAACAACATAAAAGTTTTAAATCAAGCATTATAAAAGTTTTGCTATAAAAATATTTTTTAAAATTAGATTATGTGCTAGCAAGCCTAGTCTCCTCAGGCAGAGAATATCAGAGCCTAGGGGCCCTGATGGCAAAAGCCTGCTCACCCTTTGTTACCAGACCTTGGAGCAGTAACTCACTCCCAACCCAGAGGGCGCAATCCACCGTTTTCCTGCAGAACCATGGCCTCAGACTTAGAGGTGCTGACTCTCATCTTGACTGCCTCACACTTGGCTGCAAACTGCCCCAGTGCCTGCTGGAGGTCACGGTGTGATGAAGCTAACAGAACCACATCATCTGCAAAGAGCAGAGATGTAATTCTGAGGTCCCCAAACCAGACACTCTCCTTTTTTTTAGTAAGAGGGAAACATAGAACCCGGGAAACATAGAACCTTTTTTGCAGGGTTAAATGGGGAACATAGAACCCGGGGAACATAGGGATGACCCCTGCCACTCCACAGGCACTATACCCGACAAACTTTGGATGAGAAAGGGAGCTTGGAAATGGGCCTATAGTTCTATGGTAAGGACTGATAAAGATCAGTTTGTTTTTTTTCAGTAAAGGCTAAATGCTGGCTTACTTAATAGAATGAAGGATGCAACCAAAAGTAAGGGAACGTTACTAATGTCCATGGCAACCATAACCTCTTTCATAACTGAAGTCCTGATAATCAGGATAGTAGTAGAAGATACAACGTCAGACCTAATGTAAGTGACTTTTTACTTAAAAACATTACAGTCAGTATTTGAGGGTTGATGAGCCTAGTAGTGGTACGGCATACAGTAGTAATCTAGGATTATGCTGGTTACTGGTGATTAAGTCAGAGACATAGTTGGCTCTTGCATCTTTCATTAGTTTGTTGTAAGAACTTAAAGGGAAATTTCGGTTTATTTCAACCCGTCTCCTATCGTCCTAAATTTGTTTCAAGTGACTAGTGACATAAAAATAATAGTTAGCATGTTAGCCATTAGCCTAGATACAGCTGGGGCGCATAGTAGCATCAGACCTGTTAAAACGTAAGTGAACGGGCAATCTTCAAGTGCAAAGTTAGTCCACTAAACAAGCTTTTTTTCCACAAAGACCGCCTCATATAGTTAGGATAAATGTCAGAGAACATACAGAAAACGACATGTAAACGTGTTGTCTTACCTTACCAGTGTGGTGCCATGTTGTTTACCCCTTTAGCTCTGCTTTCCAAAGCGCGGCCGAAATATCGCAAGAACAAGCAGCGATCTCATAGCATGGCTGAACAAGCAGCAACAGCTGGAAGGCAGAACTGGACAGTAGCCTGAAAAGTTCATTCATTTATTTTGTGAAAGATTTATAGAATAATGGCTGACTTTTTGCCAGACTTCCACTTTGTGGAGGAGGAATTTGATTTTGCAGAGTTTGATGGCCACCCTTATTTATTTGAGCCAGAATACACTGACAAAGAGCTTCGTGAAATTGAAGAACGGAGGAGAGAGAGAGAGAGAGAGGCGCAACAGGTAGAGGATGAGTGAGGAGAAATGGCTGCTGCAAGGCTGTATAGCTCTGGAGATTGGTGGTGTACCTGTGAATGCTGTGCCCCAGTGCCCACAGAAGAGGAATGCCTCTGTTGCAAGGAATGGGACCGGTTGCAGCCTTATTTTCAAAGTCTGGATGTGACCGAGGACGAGACACCTCCACCTGGAGTAACGTTAGTATCCAGCTGGGCTTTATCTAGAGCTCGCGAGATATATTTCGGCCGCGCTTTGGAAAGCAGAGCTAAAGGGGTAAGCAAATATGGCACCACACCGGTAAGGTAAGACAACACGTTTACATGTCGTTTTCTATATGTTCTCTGACATTTATCCTAACGATATGAGGCGGTCTTTGTTTCACTTACGTTTTAACAGGTCTGACGCTACTATGCGCCCCGGCTGTATCTAGGCTAACAGCTAACATGCTAACTATTATTTTTATGTCACTAGTCACATGAAACAAATTTAGGACGATAGGAGACAGGTTGAAATAAACCAAAATTTCCCTTTAAGAATGCCCATGCACATATAGTGGACATGCAATTTTCTATTTCCTTTCTGTTATTCTGAACAATCTTTTGAGAGTTCATGAACTATTGTCAATCCAAGGAGAGCTTTTTACAGGCAATTTGCCACTGATGAGAGCAATGGCATCTAAGGTTATTTGACAGAGATTGTTCCAGCTTTTAAGCAAATCATAAACTTATGATAATTCAGATGGAGTGCAGTTAAAAAAATGATAAATGGTCTTGTGCCCCTCTAGCCTTCTGACCACTCAAACTGCTTTTACACTACAGATTCACTTAGTCACATGCTGGTGGCTAAGGCTGCCATACAAGAAGCCACCTGCTCATCACTTAACCATTCACACACACTTGTTAACCTTGTTCAGAAAAGTGGCATATAAATAAAGTTTATATATGCATATAAAATCCTCAATATATTGTTTTACACAATATATTTTTCTACATAGCATATATTTGTTTACGCAGTACATAT